CCCGTGGCCATTGAAACCCACCCCGCCCCGACCCACTGCCATCCCTACTTGTGGAACCACAAACCTTCAAAGAGAATGTAAATGATGCTAGATGGATTGAAGCTATGAAGCGGAAAATCAAGGCATTAGAGGAAAACAAAACATGGGAAGTAGTGAATCTACCTACTAGGAAGACTACTATAGGATCAAAGTGGGTATACAAAATCAAGTTCAAGGCAAATAGGGAAGTAGAGATATTTAAGGCAAGGTTAGTATCAAAAGGGTATACTCAAAGAGAAGGGTTAGATTATCATGAGATCTTCTCCCCTGTGGCAAAAATGGTCACATTAAGATCTGTTATAGCATTAACAGCCTCAAAAGGTTGGGAGTTATTTTAGATGGATGTGTATAATATTTTTTTTGCAAGGAGACTTGTATGAAGAAGTCTATATGCAATTGCCAGAGGGATTTAGAAGCCAGGGGGAGAGGAAAGAGTACAAACTTATCAAGTCATTATATGGGCTTAAACAAGCCTCTAGGTAGTGGAACATTAAGTTGACTGAGGCTTTGACATATGCAGGTTTTGTCTAGAGCAACCATGACTACTCTCTATTTACCATGAAGAGAGGTGGAGACATTGTGATTATTCTGTTACGTGGATGATTTGCTCATAATAGGGAGCAATTGTCAGTTGATAGATACAACCAAGAAAATTCTGCAATAAAAATCTAAAGTGAAGGATCTAGGTGAATTGAAATATCTTTTTTTCCGGATAGAGATCATGAGGTCTAAGGCTGGTGTACTACTGAATCAAAGGAAATAGGCAAAATACATAAACCGCTCTTTTAAGTTGTCCTCAACGGTCAGACAAACACCTCAACTGGCCCTTTTACCATTTTAACACTTCAAGTAGCTATCAAATGTATCAAGTAAGTACCCGGCCTAGTCAGCCCATCTTGCGTGTGACACACAGTCTGAAACGCACGTTGCCTACCAATTTTTTTTGTTTTTAGAATTAATTTGATGTGCGCCCCAAAATTCCAACATCTTCTTCCAATCATTACAGAATCAGTTGGCCATTATCGCCGCCTTCGCCACCACCGGGGCTGTCAAACCCACATTAGCAAAACAAAAATTTTCATCAGATTAAAGCCAATCATTAACCAAAAAATTGTTAAACTCATAATTCATAATGGAATCTT